AGGCCCAGGCGCAGGCCCAGGCGGCGGCGGCGGCAGCGGCGGCGGCGGCGGCGGCCGCGCAGCGGGAGCGCAACGACTTCCCCGAGGATCCCGAGTTTGCCGACGTGGTGCGGCGGGCCGAGCTGGCCAGCGAGCGCGGCATCTTCCCCGAGCGCATCTCGCAGGGCTCCAGCGGCAGCTACTTCGTGAAGGACCCGCAGGGGGTGAGCTCGGCCTGGCCCCGCGCGGCCCACCCGGGGTGGTTCCGCCCCCGTCGCTCCGGAGGCCGGTGGGCTGGGCGGCACCGGCCGGGAGCGGGGCGCTGGCGGGAGTGACCGGCCGCGGAGGGCTGGTAGGAGCGACCGGAGCGGGTCTGAGCCTCCCCGGGGGAAGTACAGCGGGACCGGCAGCGGGAGTGCGGGGCAGCAGCGTCCAAGTGCTGCTTCAGCCTGTTGTGCCCAAAGAGAAAGGGTCGCCCCCTCCCGCAGGCCCGTGCATCAGCATCACACAGTGACTCCAGCCCCAGGGCTGTGCCTCTGCGGGCTGAGCTGGTTTTGGCCTGGTTTTTTTGAACTGTTTTTTTTTGTCTTTGTGGCTGTGTGGTTGGTATGGTGGAGAGAAAGTCCTTGCCATGCAGCTGGTTCCCTGTAGACCTGGTTGTCTGTCTGTGTGCCACTGACCAGATGAGTGTGCAGCACGGGCTGGCTTGTCTTGTGACCTGCTGCTCCCTGCCCAATTACTTGAGCTGTTGCTGTTTCCTGTGACTCCCCTGCCACGTGTTGGCTGGGATGCTTCCAGGGAATCAGGAGTGAGCTCTGTGGTCTCTGGCGTGTCCTAGTTTTCCCTCTCTGGGTGAAAGCTGGTTCCTGGAAGCTGTCAGTTCCCAGCTCAGCTGATGGTGTGTGGAGAAATACTCGTTTGTGCTTCAGCCCAGCTCCCTCCTCTTACCCAATGAGACCTGGAGGGGGCAGCCAGATGAGCTGCTTGGGGATTGCAGGCTGGAGACTGCCTGGCTGCAGGAGACCCAAACTCAAGGATGGCTGCTGGAGCATGGTGTGAGGAGCCAAAGTCTGTGTACTGCTGGCGCTGTCAGGTGGCAGGTCCCCCAGATTATCCTGCTGCCAGCAAGTGTGGTGTGTGACTGGTTGCTGTGATTGTTGCCCAGGGTTACCAAAAACATCCCACTGCTGGCACGGGAGAGAGCGCGGCATGTAGATAATGTGGGCAGCAGGGGGAAGATATTGGGGGGAAAAGCTTTCTTCTTTGATTATTTCCCTTGAGGCTGCTGGGCCTGAGCTGTTCCAGGCTGTGCTGCCCAGCCCCAGTGGTTGTGATCACCCCAGTGCTGCTCTGTGCTGGCCAGCTCCCTGCCTGGCTGCTGGCACCAGGCAGACCTGTTTTCCCTGTCAGGGCTGCCTGGAAGGGGATGCTGTGCTGCCAGGCCTCTGGTTTCTGCTTCCGTGCTGTCCCTGCCTGGCTGGGCCTTGTTCTGCTGGACTGGTTCAGCACAGGGCTCCATGCTTTGCTGCCAGAGCTCCTGACAGGCCTTTTTGCAGGCTTATATCTGAGGGTGGATATTGGATATACTGACAGTCGTGTGACAGCCGTGTGGGGGATTGCCTTCCTGCCTGCCTGGGGAAAGTGGCTCCACCATGTGATCTGGACATGGCTCAAGTGATCCTCTTCCCTCAAGCCCTTCCTTTCTGCCTTCCTGGTGGACAAAGCTTTGGTTCTGCTTGCTGTGGCCTGGCTTTTGGCATTGAGGTTCCCTGCTGAAGCACTGGGACTCATGTTCTACTTCCACATTCTGGCAGGAGCTCAGCTTGGGGAAGTGATGCCCACTCAGGCCAGGGCTGGCAGTAGCCATGGGCAGAAGGCCTGGTTGCATGTGCTGCTGAGTCACTCCAGAGCAGGGCCTGCCATGCCCCCAGGGATGCCTGACTTTTGGGGACAGGTGGCCTTGCTCCTGTCCCAGCCCTTCTCTCACCTGTGTGCTGTGGCAGTGCTGGCTCAGTGCCCCACTCACGGCTGCTGTGCCCTCTGCAGCAGTGGGGTGCCCATGCTGCTGTCCCCACTGTCGGGTTGGCGTGTGTGTGTGAGGCTGGATTGAGGGGCTGGGAGCTGCTGGTGCCAGCTGGTGGCCAGTTGGAGCTGCCTGTGCCCTCTCATCCACAATGTATCCAGAGAGGCAGCCCTTCTGCTGGATTCCCCAGCCCAGAGCCCTGGCTCCTCAGGGGTCCTGCAGGTGCTCAGCTGTTATGGTCCTTTTCCTCTGGTCAGTTTGGGATCAGCTCTGTTCAGTGGATTTTTGAGCCAGGGCAGGGATTGCTATCCTTGGCCCTTTCCTGTGTGGACACAATGACCAACCATGAGCAGTAGCTCTCCCCCGCCATCCAAAGGTCACGGGAATGAGACTGATGTGTTTACCAGGAGACTGCATCATCACTGGTGTTTTTTGGGACTCACGTTGGGTATAAAGGTCTCTGGGCAGCACTCTGCTCTTGTGGGATGGGATACTGGCTGGAGAGGGCTTCTTCCCAGCTCTGCCTACCTCCCTCCCAGGAGCTGTGAGGTTTAGCCTGGTCCCAGGAGACTGGTCATTATGCTAATGAGGGGCAGTTCTGGACCTGTTCCTTAGTATCCCCACTGTGGGCTGAGGAAAGTGTCCCATCTCTGCCAGCTTCCTGGACTCAGGCCTCTTCTCTCCCACTCACAGAAAATCATTGGCGTCTTCAAGCCCAAGAATGAGGAGCCATATGGGCAGCTGAACCCCAAGTGGACCAAGTGGCTGCAGAAGTTGTGCTGCCCATGCTGCTTTGGGAGAGACTGCCTTGTCCTGAACCAGGGCTACCTGTCAGAGGCAGGTGCCAGCCTGGTAGACCAGAAGCTGGAACTCAACATTGTTCCCCGCACAAAGGTGAGGGGACAGCTGCTGGGGGCTTCTTCTGGGGAGGCTTCTGTGTGCTTCCACACAGCTCTGCTTGCACCTTGTGTCACTGCTGACCTAGGAGGTGGAGTGCTCTAGACTAGGACTGTTCCTGCTCAAACCATGGGGATCCTTGGGCTGGGCAGAGCTCTGGAAATGCTGTGTCTTGGTTTTTTTGGGCAGTCCTGTGATTTGCCAGCAGCCCCTGCCGACTGTGCTCATTGGTGTCCCTCCAGGTGGTGTATCTGGCCAGCGAGACCTTTAACTACAGTGCCATTGACAGGGTGAAGTCCCGAGGAAAGAGGCTGGCCCTGGAGAAGGTGCCGAAAGTTGGCCAGCGCTTCAACCGCATTGGTCTGCCACCCAAGGTAGGGCTGCCAGCCTCCACGCCCGCCTCTTAGCACCTCCCTGGCCTCTCTGGCCTCCTGTAATGCAGCCTGTCCTTGCGTCAGGTGGGCTCCTTCCAGCTCTTTGTGGAAGGCTACAAGGATGCAGACTACTGGCTGCGGCGGTTTGAGGCCGAGCCGCTCCCGGAGAACACTAACCGGCAGCTGCTGCTGCAGTTCGAGCGGCTGGTGGTGCTGGACTACATCATCAGGAACACAGGTAGGCCCAGCTGCCTGCCACTGCATGCTGCCTGCTCCTCCATGTCCTGCCATGCTGGAAAAAGGGGAGGGAGGTAGGGTCTCGATGACTTTTCCCTGCACCCGAAACTCCTCTCCCCTCGGTTGCTGCCAGGTGACATCTGCCTCTAGGCAGAGTGCAGCTGCTGGGCTGCTCACCACCTGAGGCTCTGGCTGCTGGCCAGTTTACTGGCAGATCTGGATCTACCATGGTGCTCAGGTGAAAGTTTGCCAACTGTGAGGATGCAGGGACATCCAGAAATCCAGCACTAACTGTGCTCCCATATATCCCATTTCACACCGTGGTCTTGAGTTTCTGCTAGGCTGGAAGGGATTGAGGTTGTACTCTGGGGCTTGCAGGCTGACCTTTCTCTTGGGAACTGGTGATACGTGGACCTCTAGGGCTGTCTGTTAGGGGCTTGATGTGGCTCCCCATGCCTGCAGCAAGTTTAAGGGCTTTGAGAGTTTGTGCCTAAAATGTCTGGGTCAGGGGAGGAATAGTCTTCTGCCCAGCCTGGTGCAGGGAGGCCCTGGTGCTGACACAGCTGGTTCTATCTCCCTGCAGATCGGGGCAATGACAACTGGCTCATCAAGTATGACTGTCCCCTGGACAGCGCGGGCGTGCGGGTGAGTGGCTACTCCTGGGCAGGGCCAGCACGGGGACTCTGCTTCTGGAAGCTGCCAGCCTGGCAGGCAGGACAGGAATTGCCCATCTGGTTTGGGTTTCCAAGTGTGTTGAGGCCTGATCTTGTCCCCTGGGCCTTTTGTTACCATTTGTGTTGGTGGCTTGTGGCCTAGTGGGACTTCATGAGGATGCAGCTGAACTCTGTGGGGAAAACTGGCGTTGTTGGACTTTGGAGTGAGACCTGGGAGGGAAACAGCTTTGTCCCCCTTCCCACCCAAAGCAGACTATGTTTCCCTGTGCTTAAGGTGCCATGCTACACGCAAGAGGCTGCTGTGCCTCTGTGGTAGCCAGGGGCTGCAGGGAGTACGAGAAGGACTGCTCCTGCTGGGAGGACCTCCTTGTGACATGCTTCACTTCCTTCCAGGACAGCGACTGGGTGGTGGTGAAGGAGCCCATCATCAAGCTGGCTGCTATAGACAATGGTTTGGCCTTTCCCTTGAAACACCCGGACTCCTGGAGAGCATGTGAGTCCCTCAGGCTGTGCCAAGGCCCCGTGGCAAGCCATACAACTCCATGCTTGGGCATCCTTTTCAAGGATTGCAGAGGAGAGGGCTAGGGCTGTGCCTCTGCAACTTCTGGGTTCACAAGCAGCTCCTCAGCAGAGACTGTAGAAGGCAGATGCAGAACCCTGTGTCCCAGATGCAGGGAATCTAGCACCCAGGGGCACGTGGCACCATGTGTTGCTTTCCCCAGTTCTAATGTCTCCTGCTTTCTTCCACAGATCCGTTCTACTGGGCATGGCTGCCCCAGGCCAAAATCCCCTTTTCACAGGAGATCAAGGACCTGATTCTTCCCAAGATCTCAGACCCCAACTTTGTCAAGGACCTGGAGGAAGATCTGTATGAGCTCTTCAAGGTGAGCTGGAGGAGGGGTGAAGATGATGTGGGAGGAGGAAAAGCGGGAGTGGTGTTGGGGAGCTCCCTGTCAAGGTTGCAGGGACAGAGAGATGGTCAAGCTCCTGACAGTGTTTCTGGGCTGAGACACAGCAGGGTTATCCTTCTGCCAGAAGCTGAAGATTCAATGTGGCAGAAGCAGGAAACCCATGGGACAGGACAGGGGATGTGGCTTACTTGGGGAATAGGCATCTTGTTCCCTGCATGAAGCAGAGAGTGGATCTCATTGTGTTCTTTGCTCTCTCTCTTGCAGAAAGACCCTGGCTTTGACAGGGGACAGTTCCACAAGCAGATTGCTGTCATGAGAGGCCAGGTAAGCTGTGCAGAGTTAAGACAGATGGCTGAGGTAGGAAGCCTTGTCCCCCCTTTGTGGCAGGAAGGGTGCTGGAGTGGATGCTCTGTGTCGCTCAGCATTGCTCTGTTGTGCCATACAGATCCTGAACCTCACTCAGGCGTTGAAAGATGGGAAGAGTCCACTGCACCTGGTTCAGATGCCACCTGTGATTGTGGAAACGGCGCGTTCCCACCAGCGCTCCGCCAGTGAGTCCTACACGCAGAGCTTCCAGAGCCGGAAGCCTTTCTTCTCATGGTGGTAGCTGTGGGAGCCACGGGCAGGGCTTGGCCACCTCGGACTAGCACTGCGAGAGGAGCTGGGCCACTGCTGGCTCCTGTGGCTGGGACTCGACCTTCAGGGTAGAGCGAGCAGACGCGACTGGAGGAACCTGCAGCTGAACTGGAGGAGCCGGGCAGCATGGGCATGGTCCCTCCCCAGCTCCATGGGAGCTTGGTGCCCTGCCTGGGGCAGAGGCCAGGGGGAGGTGTGGGAATCTACCAGGAACTGTGGTACGGCTGGGACCCTGCTGCTGCCTCTGTTCCTTGGCCTGCATGTGGTTCTGAGCACCCCTGCTTGGGCTGGGATGAACGGGCTACCTGAGCCAGGATCCGTCCAGCCCCTTACACCAGCCACTGGCCCTTTTTTCCCCACCATGCCAGCTGCCAGGCTGGGAAGGCCTTTAGTAGGTGATACTCCCTCCATTTCCCTGAGGGTGTGCTGTACTCCACTGTCCCTCCAGTGCCCCAACCCCGTGCACGCTGCTTTCCTCAGGGGGAGTTCCTGCTGCCCACTGGCGTAGCGGGGACCACAATGAACGGCTGTTCTCTGGCTAGAGCTCGAGGAGGGGACATAAGAGGGACAACACATGCGACTGGCTTGGGTGCAGTTAGACACTAAGGCAAAGAAAGTGCTGGCTTGTCCCTGTGAAGGGCAGGTGGCTTTGCAGAGCTCTCCCATGGGAGCTCTCCCCTTTTGCCCCAGTCCATTTTCCTGCCTCGTCTCCATAGCTGCTCTCGCTTGACTTTCTTTCCTCTCCCAGCAAGCTCCCTGGCTGCTGTGCAGCCAGCATGGTGCCAGCCTTGTCTGTGCCTAGGGACCCTCTGAGGGGCAGGGGCTGCCAGGGAAGGGCTGGAGGGGCTCTTCTGCCACATGGGTGGGAGCACTAGGGGACCAGCATGGACTCCTGCCTGCCCTGGAGCTGACAATCTCACAGGCCTGCTGTGGCTGGGGAGGCAGGGAGCCCCTCTCACCAGCAGCTGCTGAGCTTGTGTTGTATCAAACAGCACCAGGGCTGATGCCTGCACCTGCTTGCCTTGAGCTGTGACTTCTCAGGCTGCTGGGAAAAGTCAGAGTTGGGTCTTGTTGTTCTGTTAGCCCATCTTTGGGGAGTGAGAGGGATGAAGGCAGGTGAACCTGGGAAGGCAGAGCAGCTGCTTTGTCTCCTTCAATGGAGCAGCATTGGCTGTGTAAGCACAGAGGGGGCAGCAGTGGAGATCCCAACTCCCCAGCCAGGCCCAGCTGCATTTGACTGACCCAAAATGTATTGTTCTAATGCACTGTAGAAATGTATGTAATGTATTTAAACCATGCAACGGTCTGAATAACAGAGCTGCCATTGAGCTGGCTACATCTGTGCCTCTGCAGCACCCTAGAGCAGGTCGGGGTTCCTCAGCCCATGGCTGGTATCCATGTGTACCTGTACAGGGATGCACTGGCTGCCTGCAACTGCTGGAGCTGCTGCAGGACAGAGTTCCTTTCCTGTCTGCTCATGCTGGACTTTGAGGGCAACCAGCTGCCCAAGCTGTCTCCTGGCATTCTGTCTGCAGATCCTGCTCCAGTCTCTCCTGGGCCCAGTGGCTCTTGGAGAGGGAGCTCTAGAGGCTGGAGATGAGGCTGCCCAGCTGCTGCTTCTCCTCCTCAAAGTGGCCACATTCAGACTGCAAGTCTGCTCCCTGTAGCTGCTTCTCCTCCTTCAGCCACAGGACCATGGCTTGGAGTTTTGTTCTTTTGGCAGCGAGGCTGAGTACCTCCTGCTTCAGCTCCTCCAGCTTCAGCATGTCCCCCATGACTGCTCCGTTCTCCTGGGTGCTACACTCTTCCAGCGTGGCCAGCTGGTCTTCCAGCAGAGAAATCTTTTCCTGGAGAATCTGTGTTCTCTCTTCCTAGTGTTCCTTCTCATGAAGGGCAGCATGTAGCTTGTTCTTCAGCTGTCCCTGTGACTGTGCCAGGGCCGTTAATTTGTGATTGTGCACTGGAACAGATTGGCCCAGAGAGTCTCCCTCACAAGAGATATTCAAGAACCATCTGGCTGTGATCCTGTGACATCTGCTCTAGGATGCTGGGAGGCAGGGAGGCTGGAATAGAGGACCCACAGGTCTGTTCCAACCTGACCTCTGATGTGGGGCTGTTCCCCTTGCACTAGGTGCTGTACAACAGCCTGGACCATGGCTCTGCTACTCAGGGATGAGCAGGACACAACCAGAGCCTCACCCACCACCACTGTCTACCCTTTATTAACCATTCATTGCACCCGCCCGGTACACTTAGGGACCTTGGGGAGCCGCTCTCCAGCCTCTCAGCGCTGCTACATGGAGCCCGAGCCCGTCTCGGCCCCGCAGTCACCCTCCAGCTTCTTCTCCGCGATCCTACGGGCAAGAGGTGTGTGTTAGCGGCCTAGCCCGGCCGCACTCCCCCCGGCTGCCCCGCCGCCGCGGGCCGTACCTACCGAAGGTGTTGGAAGCGCCGAAGCGCTGCCATCCCGCCGCCGGGCTGGGCTCGTCGCCGCCGCAGCCGCCGCAGGGCCCGCGCCATGCGCCGCTGGCCCGCGTACCGCCAGACGAGGCGGGCGCGCTCCTCGGGCCGCTCGGCCCCGCCGCTCCGGAACAGGCTCCGCAGCTCTCGCAGCCCCACGCCCTGGAAGATGTTGGCCGTGGCCCGCTTACGGGCGCGGGCTGAGGGCGCTGCCCGTCCCGGAGAGTCGCTCACCACCGAGGCCGGAGTGCCCATGGTCCTGACCGCTGCGGGCACCGAACAGTCGGCGTCAGGCTCCGGTCCACCTCCCCCGGGATCCGGCGCGGCTGCCCAGTGAGGAAGGGGAGGCGTCGGGGGAAGGGCGGTCCGGGACGCCGGGCAGGGGGCCAGCCGCACAGGCGTGGCCGCCCGGGAACGCGGGAGACGCCCCGGCTCGGGCCGGGGCACGCAAGTCCGGTCCCGCCCCGCCTGGGGCGCTGGGCCCCGCCGTGACCCACTTTCGCTCCGGCGCTGTCCCGCACGCAGCGGCCCCTCGCACAGACCTGGCGGCTCCGCCTGCTGCCCGCTGCGCTCCCGGGCCCGCTGCGCGCCGCCGCGCCGGGCTCCCGCCACAGCCGCGCGCCCCATTCATTCACCGTGCGCGCCGGCCCCGCCCCCGCCAATCCCCGCCCGCCTCCCCCTGCCACGGCCAATCGGCGCCGAGGGGCGCGGCTGCCCCCTTCGCTGGGAGGCCACGTGGCGCAGATGACGTCACGGGCGGGGTGCGCGGCCTCGCCCCAGGGCGGGGCTCTGCGCTCCGAGGGGAATCCCGGTGACGTAAGGGGAACCCCGGCGCGCGCCCCCCGCCGGCCGCCGCTCGGGGTCCCGGAGCGCTGTCCCCGGGTGCCGCCGGCATCGGTCGCTGTCTTCCCCGTCCTCCCGCCGCCCCTCGCGCCCCGCCTTGCGGCCCGCCCCGGCGGCAGCGGGACGGGAGGGGCGCGGCGATCCCCGCCCGACGCAGCCCTCGGCTGTCCGATGGGCTGGCGGGAGGTGCGGCGGGGCGGGGAAGAGAGGGGAGAGGCCCCGCGCGGGGAGGACCGCTAAGTGCCAGATGTTTGGCAGCAGTCAGGGAGGAAGTCGCTGCCGGGGCCCCGAGTCCCGCCCGAGCCGCGCCGGAGTAGGCAGGGCCGCGCCATGGCCCGCACGGCTCCCCCGACAGTGCCGCCGCCGCCGGGGCCGCCGGCCCGCGGCTCTCTCAGCCTCCACCGCGCCTACCTGCGGAGCCCGCTGGGCCTCCTGCGCCTGGGGCAGCTGGCTCTGGGCGCTGCCTTCTGGGTGACGGTAGCGGCTCACAAGTACGAGGGGGCGGCCCACTTCGCTCTGTTTGCCGCCGTCCTCATCTGGCTCCTCACCCTGGCCCTCTTCGGGCTGAGCCTGCTGGGGCGCTGGGAGCTGGTGCCCTGGCTGGGCTCCCGCTGGCTCCTCACCAACCTGGTGCACGACCTGGCACTGGGTGTGGGGCTCTACGCAGCTGCCACTGGCATCATGGGTCACAAGGCCAAGCAGAGAAGCTTCTGCAACCTGCCGGGCTACAGCCAGCACTGCCTGTACAGTGCCTACCTGAGCGCCTCCATCTGCGGGGGCATCACTGCCTGCCTGTACCTCTTCTCCGGGCTCTATTGCCTGTTGCGGCGTTGCCAGGACCAGCGAGACATCATCTGAGACCCCGTGCCACTCGGCTCCCCTTCTCAGCCGCAGACAGAACACAGCCTGCCTTTGGGATGAAACGACCCTGCCGCCCCATCCCCTCCTGGCTGACTGCACTGCAATTCCTCCAGAGACTCCTGCACAGACGGACGGACAGACAGAGGCCTTCGCGGAGCACAGCTTCCCCGGCAGCGCACCGAGGCAGCGTGGACACCCAGCCACTGCACAGGCCCTTCTCCCAGCCCTTGACAGACGTAGGTACTGCAAGTGGAAGGAGCCAAATGGAGAGCCCCTAAGAGGGACACCAATCTTTGGGAGCCCCCCCTAGGACTCAAGCCAAAATCCCCTGCCCCTGGTCTTGCAGATGCTGCATGCTCAGGTGGGTGCTGACTATTCCCTGGGGTAGAGGGGGGATGCCTGTGGGAGCTGAGCTGGGGGCAGCAGTGCCTAGTGGAGTTGGATGGGCATAAACCCCCCTGACCTGCTGGCAGCTCTGTGTTGTCATTCCAGCTGCATGGCGCCTCCACAATTCCCTAAGGGAGTCTCTGAACTTGGCTTCCCCAGCCTGGGCCCCTCCTTCTGTCTGGCCTGAAAACATCCTTTATCTTATTGGAGCTGCAAAGGGCTCAGTGCCTCCCTGCCCTGCACTCAAGGGGTGTGGAGACACCCAGGTACTGCACAGCCACATCCAGCATCACCCCAGTCCAGTTTGGAGACTGAGAAGGGCAGCAAGGCCTCCATTGCTGTGGAGAGAGAGGAAGGACAAGTGGAGCTGTAACCTGTTCTGTGACCCACCAATCTTTGGGAGCCCCCCCTAGGACTCAAGCCAAAATCCCCTGCCCCTGGTCTTGCAGATGCTGCATGCTCAGGTGGGTGCTGACTATTCCCTGGGGTAGAGGGGGGATGCCTGTGTTATCTGGGCTGGGGGCAGCGGTGCCTATTGGAGGTGGATGGGCATAAAACCCCCCTGACCTGCTGGCAGCTCTGTGTTGTCATTCCAGCTGCATGGCGCCTCCACAATTCCCTAAGGGAGTCTCTGAACTTGGCTTCCCCAGCCTGGGCCCCTCCTTCTGTCTGGCCTGAAAACATCCTTTATCTTATTGGAGCTGCAAAGGGCTCAGTGCCTCCCTGCCCTGCACTCAAGGGGTGTGGAGACACCCAGGTACTGCACAGCCACATCCAGCATCACCCCAGTCCAGTTTGGAGACTGAGAAGGGCAGCAAGGCCTCCATTGCTGTGGAGAGAGAGGAAGGACAAGTGGAGCTGTAACCTGTGACCTTGGGCAGGGGGTGAATTCCTCCAGCCCTGCAGTTTGTGCAGTCCTGGGATGGGGCCAGGTGCCCCAGAGGTTGGGGAGAGCCAGTCATGGGGTTGTTGTCTCCTCCTGCTGTCCCTCCAGAGAGGTTTGTGGCTCCAAGCCACCCAGAGCCACTGAACCAGCCCTGATGTCAGGCTACTCCAAAAGGGACAGAAACAGCCTCGCTGATGGTTCTGGAGACCAACCTGCAGCCCTGCCTGTCTCTGCTGCACTTGATTTATCATCCTGGACAATCTTCATCTCTGGACTCTCTGGGAGTGGGCAGTGCCTGGAGACTGTGGTGAGGTGGAGGGGAAGGGTGGGCATTGCAGCATGGCTGTGCTGGGGAGCTGGGGCCAGGCATTGTAGGAGCACAGCCTATCTTGGAGAACAGAAGAGGACACTGGCACTGGAGCCAGCGCAGCCCTGGATCAGCCTCCAGAACCCACCAGGTGTCAAGTCCTGACGAGGCCACTTAGGGCTGACTAGAGAAATGGACAGCCAGAGACAGAATTTTTGGAGCAGCACTGCACTAGGGCTGCCCTGCCACAAGCCCTTCTCACCCTGCCTGGAGGCAGGTCCTCTCTATTGCTCCCAGTTTGAGGGACGGTCTGCTCCAGTTTCTGCATAGACTTAGATCAGTGATATGGGTGTCCCCAGCAGCTGGCCACAGCTGCCTGTTGCTGGGGTTCCCTGGTGCCTTTTTTGAGGTGGAGAGCAGCAGCCATGATTCCCCTGGATGCTTGAAGGGGTCTGGCATTGGTACTGGGTCACCACTTCCATCATGATGTGCTGTCCCAGTGCATGCCCCATCATGCTCAGGGGCCCTCCAAGCCCCAGGCCATGTAGCCCTTCCTTGGGTAGGACATGCTGTCTGTGCCCTGTGTCAAGGCTGGTCCCTGACACCGCCTGCCCCTGCCTTACTCTGGTGCAGCCCTTGGCCCAGGCTATCCAAAATGCCCTCGGTGCTTCTGCCACCACAAGTGCCTTCCCCTGGCTTTCTGCAGCCCTGTCTGTCACACCAGCTCTATCCCCGTGCAGCCTCCTTTCAGGCGCCAATGGATTCACCTTCCAAATAAAGCAATGTTGGCGCTCACTGGGTGTCTGGGGCTTTGTGCTGGGACTGGGACCTGCTGGGTGTGAGGTCTGAGCTGAGATCACACCCAGCTCTGTAGCCCTGCACCCTGGGGCCTCTCTGCTTGGAGTCTCTGGCCATGGTCATGAAGTCCTGGGGTGCTCTGGGGTCACAGGCAGGCTCCCTCATGCTGAGCCACTGCTGCTACTGGAGAGGCTTAAGCCTCTGCCCTTGGGGACAGGGACTATCCCTGGCCCTGCTGCCTGTCCAGAGACTGGGCACAGCCTGATGCTCACATGGGGCTCCGGACAGAGCAGAGGGAGGCCAAGTCCCCAAGGCTCTGGCTATGGCATGTACTGAGGGCAGGATGTTGTTGCATTCCTAAGGGCTTTGTCACTCCATGCTGAAAGGGCCCTCTGTCCCAGGGCCAGGGCACTGGGCAGTCATGTACACACTGACTGGCCCTTGGTGGGTCGGGGCCAATGGAGGGCTGCCTGCATCTCCCCAGACTGGCTGCAGCTCTGGGGTGCTCTCTTGGGACAGAGTTGAGTCTTGGACCTGGACCTGCAGCTGGGGTGTCGCTGGGTCCCCAGCCTTCTGCCCATGGGACACATGCCCTGTTCATCAGAGGCTGCAGGCAGTCGGCAGCAGCACTGTGCCCTCATTGTCCAAGAGCCAGCGTAGGGTTAGAACAAGGTTACAACTTTTGGCATCAGACGAAGCCCAGGATCCCCAGAGCATCCCTGGGAGCCAGCATCCCTGCTCTACTGCAAGCACCTTTTAGGACAGCCCATGGTGCCCCGAGCAGTGCGAGCAGGGCTGCAGGTGCTGGGCAGGGCAGTGTCAGTGCACCCAGAGCTGGGATGCTGTGGGGGTGTGGAGGGGCAGGGAATGAGCTGCCAGCCACGCTCACGGGCCTCTGCGGAACCTGCTTCCTGGGACTTGGGGTGTGAGGCTGCTGCCTTCCAGGGACTCGGGGTGTGAGGCTGCTCCCTTCCAGGGACTCGGGGTGTGAGGCTGCTCCCTTCCAGGGACTCGGGATGTGAGGCTGCTCCCTGGTCTCTCCTCGGGGACAGGTGGCCCAGCAACCTCATGGGGACAAACCCACCGAGACCGGCACAGCTGGATGCAGGCCACGCCAAGACCCAGACCGAGACTGAGCCCTGAACCTGGATTAGACCCGGATCAGTGCCCAGCCCTGCACTGGGACCGGATCCAGGCTGTGACCGAGCCCCACACCAGAGCAGACCCGAATCGGGACCGGGCCGGGGCCGGCCCCCGTGTCTCGACCGTGCCCACCGAGACTCCGGCTGGAGCTGTCCCGCGGCCCCGGCGGGCAGGGCGGCTGGCAGCCGGGGGTCGGGCCGAGCGCGGCGGGGCCGCTCCGCTCCCGGTCCCGTCATGCAGGCGGTGGAGCGGGACGCGGCGGCAGGCGGCCCCGAAGGGACGACGGGAGCTGCCGAGGCCCCGCCGGAGCCGTCGCCGCCCAAGGCCGCCGCTGCTTTCGACCTGCTGGAGCTGGTGCGGAGCTACCGGCGGCTGGAGCTCTACCTGGAGCCGCTGCGGGACGCCGCCGAGGGTGTCCGCTCCCTACTGCGGTAGGTGCGGGCTGGGCCGGGACCGAGACCCGGACCGTGCCCGGGGCCTCACGTCCCTGGCCTTCCCCCCTCGGCAGGTGGCAGCGGCCTGTGTGCTCCCTCCTGGTCTGCCTCGGCCTCAACTTCCTCCTGCTCACCCTCGGCCAAGGTGCGTCTCGGGCTCGGGGCTGGTGCCGCTCCCGGCCCCGCCGGCTGACGCTGTCCCGCCTCTTGCAGCTGCCTGGTACTCGGTGCTGGCCCTGCTGGTGGCCGTGCCGGCCCTGCTGGGCTACCTGCAAGAGACGTGCCGGGCCCGGCCCTCGGAGCCCGAGCTGGTGCGCAGGAGGTACCACAGCATCCGCAGGGAGGATCTGCGCAAGGTGCAGCTCTCGCGGCAGGAGGCCATCGCCCAGGTCAAGAGCTTGTGAGTCCCTGCGCCTCCCCAGCGTGGGACTGGCGCGGCCTCTGCAGCCGCAAAGGCTTCCTGGAGGCTGCGGGAATGTGGGGAACAAGGGTGTGTGTTTGTGGGGTTTTTTGTGACTGTCTCGTTCTTAGCCTGATCCAGCTGGAGGGGTTTCTGAACGGGATGTGCTGCAGCTGTGAGGCAGTGTACCGTGTGCTCTACTGGGAGAACCCCACTGTCTCTTCCCAGTGAGTAGTACTGGGTCGGGCACCCTGTGGTGGGCTTGGTGGGGAGAGGGGCTCAGCCAGGCCTGCGGTGCTGTGTTTGATTTGTTTGCTGCTTGGAGAGAACAGATGGAACACCAGATAAGGGAAGGAGTTTTATGCTGTTGTGTGAGTTGCTCTGACTTGACCGCAGTATCCTGCTGCTTTCCACAGGTTTTATGGGGTGCTGCTGGGCACTATCTGTGTCCTCTACCTGCTGCCCCTCTGCTGGGTCCTGGCCATCCTCAATAGCACCCTCTTTCTGGGCAACACCCAGTTCTACCAAGGTATGAGACCTGGCTGGAAGTGCCCTGTGTGGGATGGGTTGGGGAAAGGCCCTCTGAAGCTGGGGATCCTTCCCTGGACCTCTCCCTCACATGATCCCACTGACCCATGTCAGGCTCTGCCGTAGACCCTGAACCCCTGTGAAGGCAGTGATGTCCTAGGGGTGGTGCTCAGCAGCCAGGGTGGGGGGTATGGTCCCGGGGCTCAGCTGTTGGAGGTGAGAGTCTCTCCTGATGTGTGTCCCAGCCCAGGTGCCACTCCCTTCTCTGTGGTGTGGCAAACCAGGGTCTGTTAATGCAGGCTGTGTGTGAGCCTCTCCATCCCTCTTGATCCTTGACTGCGCTCTTCAGGACTTCAGACACATTCAGTGCCTGTGGCAGTATATGACACAGGCTTGAAAACATGTCATTGGAAGGGAGAGGAGCCCTCTTCCGTGGCTCGTGCTGCAGGAGTGTTGGATGTGTCTGAGCTGTGATGTTGGCCCCTGCCGTTCCCTGTCCTGAGCTGGGCAGGTGGGGAGGGAGCCTCCTTTCTGCCCTAACTTTGATGTGTGAACAGAGGAGTGCTCAAGACATCTGATGAGTGAATGATACATGTCAATGTCCCACCTTGAACCTTGGAGGTCAGGTCTTGCAGTTGGCTTTTGCGTGGTGTGGCTGGGAGTAGGGAAATGCCACTCTGCTCCAGCTGTGTTCCCCTGTTTACCAGTGATCATGGAGCTCAAGGCCTCCATCGAGCAGTGTGTGGGCTCCAAACCCCTCGAGAGCACTCCAGAGCCTGCTGAGCCCCTGCCACCAGCTGCTGCCCCGGATCGGACCCCCACCCCCACCAGTGCAGAGGTGAGATAGGGGCAGGGCTGGCAGTTGTGGGGCGGGAGCTGCAGAGTCAGCTCTTGGGTCCGACCCTGTCTGTGTCCCTCTACATACAAACTTCTCCCAGCTGCCAGCTTTGCTGGAAGCCTGTGAGCCAATCCTGAGTTACTGGGATGCTGCTCTCTGCCTTGGGGGCTTGGCTCAGTCCTTTTGCCACATGTAAGGATGTGGTCTGAGGAGGCAGGGGCTCACCTCCCCTTCTGACACTTGTGTTGTCTGTGAGGCTGCCTGGGGCCAGATCCATTGTGCTGGAACCTGCTCAGAAATGTGGGGCCACCTTTGAACAGAGGCAGGGAGCAGCAGGACTAGCTTTGTGAATCTCTTGTAGGACCTTACCCCTGGCAGTGTGGAGGAAGCAGAGGAGGCGGAACCTGATGAAGAGTTCAAAGATGCAATTGAGGTTTGAGGCTGGTTGGGGTGGGCTGTGCCTGTAGGGCAGCTGAGGTGGGAAAGGGACAAAGACCTTGTTGGGCAAACTGGGTGCTCAGAGAGAGTGACTGTGGGGCTGGGTGCCTCTGAATCTGTGTGTCCTCACTCTCCTCTCTGTCCCATGCTGCGGGAGAAGGAGAACCAGCTGCTGGTCATGGTGAGTACTGCCATGCCAGGGTGTGGTATCTGCTCCCAGCTGGAGCTTTGCCTGGTTTGCCAGTGGCTTGTAGGAATGCCAGCTGGAGCACCCGGCTTGTTGGGTGCCTGCAGCCCTCAGTGTGCCCCCAGCCACCCTGCTGTGCTCAGCTGGCTCTGCTCTCTGCAGGAGGATGATGAGAGCTCTCAGTGCTCAGCAGATTTTGACCTCAGCCTCCCAGACAATGGTTTTATGAGCAAGAATGAGGTGATCCGCAGCAAGGTGTCCCGCCTGACCGAGCGCCTGCGCAAGCGCTACCCCAGCAACAACTTTGGTGAGTTTGGCAGCAGGTGCTTCCTGGGGGAGCTCAGCAGTGTGGGGTCTGTGCTGCTTCCAGTGGTGGCCACAGGACTGGGAGTGAGAGGGTGGTGTGGTACTTGCTAGGTGGTGACACCTCCAATGACCTTTTCCACCTTCCATGGGGAGAATGGTCCCAGCACGCCTAGGAAGGGCAAGGATGCAGCAATGTCATCTCTGAGCTGAGCCCTTACAGCAGCTGTAGATGTTCTTGTGCCACTTGCAGCCCCAGGCAGCAGAGCCTTGCCTGACCTCTGCTCTCTTTCTTTCAGGGAACTGCACAGGCTGTGCTGCCACCTTCTCTGTGCTCAAGAAGAGGGTGAGTCTTCGGCTCTGCCCCAGCTTGCTCTCTGCACCTGGGGCTGAGGTGTTGCTCATGTCTGGCTTGCCCCAGCTTTCTCCAGCTCAGGTGTCTGGCCTCAGTCACAGCCCAGATGACCTCAGCTAAATGCTGGGTGTTGTCACACACCTAATGGCACCAGGGATCCCTTGTGTTGTGGAGCATTTGTCCATTTACTCCTTTGGAAGCTGCCTCAGGCCAAACCCACATGCTATTTGGAAGGTACCTACTCTGTGCCCTGGTTTAGTCCATTTCCTGTGGCCTTTGTGGTGAAGTAGAGCATGGATCTGCTAGTGGGAATGACCAGTTGCCTTATCTGAGCCCTGTGTGTAATGCTTGGCACTCAGTCTGTGGGCAGTGGTCAGAAGGAGGAGGTATAGACTTTGGGCCCCCTTCACTTACACCTGGGTTGGTCTGATACACATCTGGGTCTCACCTTCATCTTTCTCCACAGCGGAGCTGCAGTAACTGTGGGAACAGCTTCTGCTCCAGGTGTTGTTCCTTCAAAGTCCCCAAGGCTGTGATGGGAGCCACGGGTGAGTTGAAAGGTGGAAGAGCTTCTGCTTCCTCCTGTTCTGTCTGCCCAGGGGTTTGCCCCAGCCCTGGTGGGGAGGGTGGACAGGATGTGCCCAGCACAGCCTGGCTTAGGACAGAGCACTGATGAATTTGCAGCTCTAGAAGCAGCTTTGTGGCTGGGGTCCCTGGCTCCTGGTGGGAAAGGGGAATCATCTGTGACATTTGCTTTCCTTTCCAGCCCCGGAGGCTCAGAAGGAGACAGTGTTCGTGTGCGCGCTCTGCAACCAGGTGCTCATCAAGTGATGAAACAGGCCCTTCCAGCTCCTGTGTCCTGCACTGCCTGACACCTGGGACAGCGGGCAGGCACTCCTGCCACTGGCAGCCTGGAGTGTTTGGATCCCAGCATGGCATTCCCCTGCCAGAGGATGCTTGCACTTGTGCTCCTCCTGCCAGCGCCAGGCTGGACGGACCAGCCTTCCTTGCCATGCACCAGCTGGGTCGCTGTGGTGGAGCACTGCCCACGGCTGTGCCCCATCCCTGCAGCTGCTCCAAGCCCTGGGTGCTCTCTGGCACTTGCTGTGCCCTGCCACGTGCTTGCCCAGGCCCTTTGGCCTGGCTCAGTGATGGAAGAGCCATCATTCCTACTCGTGGTCCTGCCTTCACCTCCTCGGTGGGGCAGAACAACCTCAGGGCTCTGTCCCTACCTTTCCCAGCACTGTGCTACAAGTGACTGTATTTTTGGGATCAGTTCAGAGCTTCTCCTGCATCCTTTGGGGTCTAGACTAGCTAGGTCTTTCATCCTGGCTCAGCTGAGACTCTGCTAGTCACTCCTGTGCTCCTCAGCCTCACTGCCTGCAGGTTTAGTCTTTTCCCACTGAATTTGGCTGTAACCCAGAGGAGGAAAGAGAATGAGTTTGGATTGGGCTGTGTGGCTGGGTCTCCAGTGTGACAAAAGGCAGGAGTTGGTGCTGCTCTGTGCACTTAGTGACTGCTGCTTTCTACTACAGATTAATATATAAATGCATATAGAGAATGACCAATAAATCTCTTGTCCTCAGCTGGCTCTTGTGTCATACCAGTAAAAGCTGTCCCAGTCCCAGGTCTCTCTGACACCTCTGTGTTTTGGCCCTGCTGTCCTGCAGGTGCTCCTGGAGAAATGGTGTTCCTGTGCCATCAGCTCTGCGTGCTTTACTGGAATTCCCATCTTCTGTCCCGCTGTAGCCTTGTTTGCCCCCTGCTCAGAGCTGTGTGCAGCTGCCTGTCAGCTGTGCCAGGGCTGCATCCTGCTGGGCTGGAGCCAGGGAGCACCTCAGCTCTGACAGGAGCTACTGAGCTTCCTCTGCCTCCTGTGGCTGCTGCTTCCCTGCCCTCCCGGGTGGTGGTCCCACCAGCTGCCTGTGTGCACAAGGATGACCTTTCCTTGTGTGAACAGCAAAGCTCCCAGCTATGCCAGGAATGTGACCCTGGCTGCTGTGCAGCTGGGAGCAGCCGTGGCCTGGGTCCCTGCCAGCCAGCTGCAGCTTCCCCCAGGCCAGGGAATCTGGGGGGCCAGTGCCCACCAGGCTGTGACACCCACTAGTCTGAGAAGTTGCTGAAACCCAAACCTCTCTGCAATCTCTACCTCCCACCAGTGTGGGAGCTCCTATGTGACAGGCAGCCTCAACACTTATCTTGGCTGTGGGCTCATAAACTCCTTCACATGGAAATTTGGAGAAAAGCTGGACTTGGCATTTGCTGGTGAGGGTGTCTGGCTTGTGCTGGGTGTGCAGAGGGCTGAGCAGATAGTGGGGGCAGTGGAGCAGCTGTAACGTTGGGGAGGGGGCTGTGTAGCACTGCAAGAGCTGGGGCTGTGTTTGTGGGGGTGTCTGCAATGGGAGATTACTGGGCTGGGAGGGGTCAGCTTGCTCAGACAGCTGACAGTGGGAGGCAGAGGAGCCATTAATATGTCTAGAAAAAAACACTTGGAGCAATGAACACTATGGCCATGTATGTCTGAACACTCTCTGGGAAGATGCTAATGACACAGAATACAAAGGGCTACAGATAAACTTAGGCTGTGGGAGATGGGGTTTTATTTATGCTTTTTAAGCTTTGCAATAAAATGTTGTAATTGACAGTGTTTATTCCTATGTAAGTGTGCTCCGCAGTCAAGCTCTGAACAAACCTAATAATATTTGAATTTTTTCCCCATTTTTTCCCAGTGGCCAGGGAGGGCCCTTTTTTTCCCAGGGCCCATTCCTGGTGCAAGGCTGGGGCAGGGACTGGTTGGCCCATGTTCCTGGCTGGCTGTGGGGCAGGGGCACAGGCACCTCTCCCTGCCAGTGGGGGATTTGGGGCTCTGGAGGGTGACCAGTGGGGCCAAGGCCATGCCCGAGGAGGGCAGAGTGAGAAGAGGTCACCCCAGAGCAGGGCAGGCACACAGTGCTCTTGTCAGCCAGAAGAGGAGGGGTGCAGACATCCTGCAGCCTCAATGTCCTTGTCCCAGGAGGCTCCCTGAGGCTGGGCCAGCTCCCAAGAGAAGAGTGTCAGGCAGCCAGGCACTGGATAAATGCCCTGGCAGGCACCTTCGGCCCCTCACCCTTTGGGATGACTGGATACAAGCACATCTGGAACACCTCTGGGTCACTCAAGCTGCCCCCTTGCCAGCTGGGACTGGGGAGGGCAGCTGAGCTAAGGGACAGCCCCTGCTGCCATCAGAGGGGCTGGGCTGAGGGCTGCCCTGCTCCTTGGGCTTTTGGGAAGGTCCTGGCTAGTGCAGGTGGGTGGCCTGAGAATCATTTTGGAAAAGGCTGGAGGTTGTGGCATGGGAGGTCTGGCAGCCAAGCAGGGCTGGCAGGGAGCTGCAGAGAGCACTTCAGATGATATGGGGTGGGGAGGACAGGGCTGGAGGCTGCCTGGTGCAGTATCTGCCCACTGTGATGCTCAGTGCCAGGCTTCTCACAAGTGCTGTGAGCTCCCAGACCATGGATTTATCCCCTGGGTGACAAAGGAAAAAACTTCCCTGGCAAACCACTGCCAAACCCAGCTGTGAGGCTCCAGCAGCAGTGATGGCTCTGTCCCCCCATCCTACTCATCTCAATGCCCTCCCAGGCTCCCTGGAGTGGCAGGGGTGCCTGAGTCTCCAGGGATACCTGTGACCACAAGGAACTACATCCCTTGGCTTGGCTGGACTGCCCAGGTTCAGCGCCTGGGGGAGGGCTCAGCCAGATCTGAGGTGACCTTGCTCAGGCTGCCTCAATCCATGGGCAGGACTGGAACCCCCCTCCCATTCTTCTGGGGTCCCTGAAGGAGCCCCAAGGGGCTCTTACCCATGAGCTGCAGTGAGTGGCACACAGACTTCTCTGAGCTGGAATAATTTACTGTGGTGGTGGTGGGCAAGGGGTGAGGGGTGCAGCAGGGCTGGTCTGGGGCACTTGGAGGTGCACCCCCCTCACAGACTGAGCACAGTGCGGGGAGTGGGGGAGCCCAGGAAGGGTTTGTGCAGCTCTGGGTGCTCGGTCTGGAGGGACTCAGGGACTCGGAACAGAGGGGCTGGGCTGGATCTCTGGAAGGTGAGATAATCCAGGGCTGGATGTGAGCTCCAGCTGAGGGTGTGGGATGTGTTGGTGGGCTGGGATAGGGACAGGGGGGCTGAGGGTCTGTGGCATATCATGAGGGAGCTGGGCAGAGGACATGGCTGCAGGGCAGGGTCACAGGTGTAGCCAAGAGGGCCAAGCAGGGATCCTAAATGACAGCAAGGGTCTCTGGGCTTCTGGGTGGGGCATCTGGGAGTAGACAAGGATGTCCAGTACAGAACAGGGCTCACAAGCATGCAGAACAAGGGTCCTGGGTCCAGACTAAGCTCCTGGGCAGGGGTGAGGGCCCTTGGAGCAGAACAGGGTCCCAGGGGTGCAGAGCAGGGCTCTCGGGAGGAGGCAGCTGTCCTGGCTGTGGGTCAGGGCTCCCATAAATACAGCAGGGAATCCTGCAGGTGCAGAGCTGGGCTCTGGGGCACAACCAAGGGGCTGAGGTGAGCAGAGCTGAGGTCCTGGGGTGCAGCTAGGGAGGCCAGGGTGGGATGTTGGGCCAGTGCAGGAGTTCTGGGAAAGGGCAGAGTGGGCAAAAAGCCCTAGTGCTGCCCAGCCCCGTAGAGCAGGGGGTGGTAGAGCGGGCAAGGGTAGGAGAACATGAACTTGACTGCAAACTTCATCTCCTTGTTGTGCTTCTGCCAGGGGTAGATGGCCAGGAGGAGCAGGCGCCCGCCCACCTTGCGGCCCATGACCAGGAAGCTGCCACTGAGGCTGTCGAGCTGGGGGCAGGGACAGGCACCTGCGTTCCTCATGTGCAGCACCATCTTCTTGGTGTCCTTGCGCTTCAGGGGGCCCAGTTTCAGCACCTTCTTCTTCTGGGCAGCCACCAGGCGCCGCTCCCCGTTCTCCTCCGTCACCTCCCTGATGCGCATCTTCACCACTGCGTGGGGGAAGGGAGCACTGCTGGGGGGGAGGGTCTGGGACAGGCAGGACAGGGTGCAGCCCATCCCTGCTGGGGTCTCTGGGGACGTTACTGAGTGGGGAGGGGAAAGGGGGCGTTGGGAGGGTCCAGCAGAGGCCCCCAGTGACCCTCCCAAATGTCTTCTCCCTATCCCCCACCAATGTCTTCTCCTGGGGTTTTCCCATCCCCGGCATGAAGGGTCCAAGGGAATGGCTCAGGGGTCTCCCATGGGGCTGTCCCCACACAACCCCACCCTCTGGCCAACTCCCACCCCAGCTGTCAGACCCAGAGGAGGCAGACCCTTGTCCAGGGGGGCTGGGAAGGAGAGCCCAGCACTCACCAAAGTCACTGGAGCACATCTGCTCCATCATGCCATCCGCCTTGTGCTCCATCTCACACTGCGTGCAGATCTTGGACACTGCGGGGAGAGACCAGTTACTGTCACAGCTGCATGCTGCTGGTACTTGTCACCAGGGCCAGCTCCTCGGGGACACGCCTGGGAGAGCCCCAGCAGCTCCTCTGCCCCCTAGATAGCTGTGCTGGGGTGACGCAGAGAGGCACAGAGCACCCTGCTGGCCAGGGCCAGCCCCCAGGAGGGGGAGAGATGTGGGGACACCCTCCCATCAGATGCTGGCACTTGGAAGCACAGCAACAGTAAGGGCGGTCCCAGCCTAAAGGCTCTCACAGCCCTGACCCTGACCCTAGGCTGCCTTGGGGCGATGTCCCCTCTCCTGCTGAGGGGACAGCCACCCTGCAGCAGCGGTGTGGGCTGGCGGCCGCAGGTGCAGGACGCTCTCTCGCTGCTGACATGGGACCCGGCGGCAGCAGAGGGACACAGCACTGGCGGATCCGCCAGCGGCTCCCACCTCATCCCTTGTTCTTCCTCATCCCGCGCCAGTCTGTGCAGGCAGCCGGGAGCACCGTGCTCCAGGGCAGTGAGTGCCCAGGCAAAGCTGATCCTGTGCCCGCTCCTGCCCTGTTACAGAGCCCTTGGCCAACACCGGTGTCCTGGGCTGTGCTTTGAGGGGTGAGGGGATGGCTGCGCAGGGCTCCACATGCATTCCCATCCCACCACAGCACCCTTCCTGCTTACCTGGCGGCGGCGTGGCTTTGCTGTTCCCAAACTGGACGGCGATGCAGAGCTCGTGGTCGGAGGGGAACTTGCCACAGTGCAGCATCTCAGGCCAGGGGAAGCCGTAGGACTCCATGACAGGGGCACAGGAGTCACGCACCACCTCACAGAGGGAGCGGCAGGGGTACACGGGCCGGTCAAGGCAGACGGGGGCGAAGAGGGAGCACAGGAAGAGCTGGGTGTCGGTGTGGCACTGCTTGGCGAGCAGGGGCACCCAGCTGCCAGCCTGCTGCTTGGCCTCGGCCATGGTGTCGTGCTCCAGCAGGTTGGGCAGCCGCATGCGCTTGTAGCCCACGTCGCGGCAGAGCTGCATGTCGGGCGGGATGTCGAGGCACTGCGGCTCCCGCCCGTAGAAGCGCCCGTGGGGCAGGCTCTCGGGCTGCCAGCCGTAGTAGTCGTAGTGCTGCCCGCCGCCCAGGGACCCTGCCAGCACCAGCGACAGGGCCAGCAGCGCC